ATATGCTTTCCAAGGGTTTAAAATTGGAAATTGTAATTAGAATTATTTATTGTTCTGCACACATTTGTATGCCCTTAATAGATCCAATAACCCCGTCGGCTGCGCTAAGGTGCACTTTCACCACCGCAATGGTGCAATGGGCGGTAACCTTTGTTAGATTTGCATAATGAATGCCCACGATTGTAAACTCAAGTGCCAACTATGTTGCTGTCGTAATAGTATATTTGTATATATTTGGACAACGCATTATCTGCAAAATAACAACAAAATAGAAAGAAAAATATTTTAGTCATTGTCTGATAGACTAAACCTTTTATTTTCTGAAAAATTCGTCGTTTATCCAGTTTTTAGAAAAATTATTGTCTTTCGAAAGGTGCACGAACATTTTGTGGGGCACTGTGCACACTTTCGAAAGATTCGTGCTAACAAAAATTGGCTGCATATTGAAGTTTAAAAAATTCAACAGCCGCATCGATGTCTTTTAAAGTACAGGAAATTGGATAGTTGCTTAGATTTTGTAATTGAACAATTACCTTGCGCGTATTTCGAAGAACAGTCGCCTCGCACGGTCGTTGCTCGAAGCGACGGAATTTCGAAACTAACCGAACAAAGAGTACGAGTTTTGGATTTAGCAATCTCCAAACCGGAACCAGGAGGCTGAAAGTAGTGGAAATTCATCGAATGCTGGTCTGAATGCAACACAGCTCACCGGGCAAAGTTCACGTTGCAATCGTTCAGCCGCGTCAATTGTCGACAATTTGTCGTTTCGCGGCCTGTCATTGTGCCGTACCACGAGCCTGTATACTCAAGGGGCTATCGACCACGTCGTGAAAATCGATTCGTTACATTACGCGCGTAGATTGATGTCTTGTTTTATTGTGCGTAAAATTCGTACTGGAAATTTGCCATGAATACTCGATCGGGACCCTTCCCTCGGATATATTGGGTTGGCAACTAAGTAATTGCCGATTTGTTCAATGAAATACAAAATTTCTTTTTACTTGGAACGAAGTTTAATCTGTAATGTATTTTCCATTTTGTTCGATGACCTTTCGCCATCTCTCTGACAACTTGAAAATTCCACGCTCGTAGAAAGTCTGATCCTTTTCGGCCAAAAACTGAGTTAAGTGAGATTTTACAGCGTCATCGTCACTCAAAGTTTTACCATGAAGGGAGTTGTCCAGGGATCGAAATAAGTGGCAATCCGATGGCGCGAGATCAGCGCTATATGGTGGGTGTAACATCAATTCCCAAGCAATATCCATCAATTTTTGCCGAGTGGACAAAGACGTGTGCGGCCTAGCATTGTCCTGCTGGAAAATGACACCTTTACGATTGACCAATTCTGGTCGCTTTTCCTTGACCGCTGCATTCAATTTGTCCAGTTGCTAACATTCGCGGACAATAAAAAATAACATAATAATAATAATAATAATAATAATTTTATAATATAACATTTACGGATATCATAAAAATGGGAGTGAGAGACATCTATAACTGATATCGGCAATTACTTAGTTGCCAATCCAATGATACGTATCGAACGTCTGGCGAGAAAATACACCGAAGAATTAAATCCTTGATTTCGATATAACTAAAAGTAGCACAGAAAATATTTCGACTAAATACAGTAAAGTTAACCCTAATTTTCCATTAGCTTGCAAACAAAAACGGGAAGAATCTTTCAATTTGGGAAGAGGAGACACGATTGTTCGAGCCTCGCGACTCACTTTTTATAGTTGCCGATCGTCAATAATTATAAAAACGAGGCGCAAGGCTCAAATAATCGTATCTCCTCTTCACAAATTGTACATTTTTGTTTACAAGCTGAAGGAAAATTAAGGAGAATTTATTATACAAAGCTGAGTCGTGCCTAATGTAACACGCTATGATACTAGTGTGAGTATTTATTTAATAACTTAAACGTAACATAAGTTTAATAAATGAATTCTTTTTAAACATAACATAAATAACTTAAACATAATTTAATAACAATAAACGTACTCGTAGAAAATGTTCCACATTATGCAGTCCTTAAATTTTAAGTAATTGTAAATTGCAACTAGAAAATCATATTTTCTGCACATTCACTAAAAAAAAATGTTTAACGTCTGTTTACCCGAGTTGAACAAAATTTTATTCGGACGACGGATAAGAAATACGGATTAACGAATAAAATTTATCAAATAAATATCCAATCAACGAACACTTTATCTAGATAACAATTTATCAGAATAAGATTCTATTCGAATCAACATTCATTTGCATAAGAAGTTATTTGTTAATCGAATAAGAATTTATTCGTACAAGAATTAATTCCGAAAATAATCGATTTAAATAAAAATAATAAAATATAACGTTTCTCCATTAATTAACTTTTTTCAACTGTTGCATCGGATAGTTCGACACTTTCGCAATCATTGATGCACAACTAATCATAATCTTCTTTCGGATGCAAAAGAAGTCATCCTACATTTCAGGATTCGTATTTATAGTACATATATGTACAAAAATTCCTTCAAAAACGGTCAACAATTATTGACACTATTATTCGTATAATTGTCTAATCTCTGTCCGAATAATTTATTCGTCTAAAAAAAGAACAATTATTACAAATAATGAATAATTGTTATCCGAATGAAATATTTGTCCGAAACGAATTCATTCGAATAATTATTCCAGATAAATATATATCCGAAGCAGTTCGAATAATGCCCAACATACTGTCAACGCAGTAGGATTTTTTAGTGCAAATTGAGCCGTTTATTTTGAAAGTGGCATAAGTCACTTTTTCAAAAAAATCGAGGTAATGGTAACACTAATTACAATTGAAAGGTATCTTTTCATTTTAAAAAAATTTGCAATCAATAAGTTGAGAACTATTGAGATTTGTTCGAGAGAAGTTTTGCTAATTAACGGTATAACAAACATGTTTATTTTGAAAGTGGCGTAAGTCGCTGTACTCGGGAAATTAATTGTTGGGCCTAGTGTAAAAGAAATAGAAACGTGTGATAAGTGTGTGTGAAGTATTGTTTTGAATTATTTTTAGTATTTTTAAGAAAGTTGTGATCACTGGACTTATTTTTATAAGTGCGAAAGAATAGTGCAGTTTTGTAAATTATATTATAGTGATGTGGCGGCAACCTCCAGACCCGCCAGCAGATGGCTATAAAATGTTTTATAAACTAACTTT